TACTTTTCAGTATAACGTTTATATATATTATATATATATATATATGTATGTAAGCATGTGAATGTAAACCTGGATGAGTTCCATGAGAAAGTGGACATCTTTAGCATAGAGCTCAGCAGAGAGATTCTTGACGGCCTGGTGAAGATCTTCAGTTAAAGGGTTGAGTTCACCTCCAATGGAGAACTTTGTCATGCGTATTTTTTCTATGTGCTCTCTCCGTGTTGCCATTTCCCTACGGTCGCGAACAAAAACACAAAGGCACAGCCTTTACCAGAGAGTAGACAGAAAGAGCAACCAGAGAGTGCAAGCAGAGGGTAGAGAGAGAGAGAGAGAGAGAAAGAGCAAGCAGAGAGTAGAGAGAGAGAGAGAGAGAGAGCAAGAAGAGAGTAGACACAGAGAGTAAACAGAGTCGGAATGATCGTAGGACACTAAAAAAAACTTATTTGTTCACTTATAACTCACTGTCTTTCCATTTTCCCAATAAGCTGGCGTTTGGGAGTGCTGCGCTTATAAAATAAGCAGCTTATTAAAAAAAAATTGGAAACTAATGTGATGTTTATTTCTAAAAGGATATAATTTTAGATTAGTAAAAAAAATTTATTTATTGAATTTGACAAAACAAAAACAAAAATCTATTGAATGAAAGCTTAAACCGACGCAGTTGTGGACAAACATTAATCCGGCCTCTACATTTAGCTATCCAATCAACTTCCGAACATTATATTAATTTGACGAGATATTATTGAGTCCAAAGTATGAATCTCCCTCCCTCATTGATTTAAAAAATACATTTAATTTAAGTATTACATTAAAATAAAATTATTAAAAGGAATGTACCCTTTACTTATACACTTTTTAATTTTTAAATTGCTTTAACTTTTAATTGATGAATTTTGATCTAACAATTAGAATATGATATACGTTCTTTTAAAATATAAGAAACTTTGATATAACATTACTTAATTATTAAAATATATACATATATTTACTAATGTAAACAAATAAAACTTGTTGAGGAAGGAGGTCAATGATTCAATGCAGAGAGAGGGAAAGGTAACCTTGTTAAGGAAGGAGGAAAAAGTGAAAACAAACAACAAAACAAACACTATTGATATGAAAAGTTAACTTATCGAGGAAGTAGTATCAAGAAAGTGGAAATTGATAGAGAATAAGAAAGTGAGAGGAAATTTCAGACCCCAAAAAAAAAAAGTGAGAGGAAACATGTGGTGGTAATAATACTAGTGGGACTTGTACGAAAAGGCGAGACTTTGCATGACCTTTGGACGCTGATTCGACCACTGTGAGTCAGTCTTCTTCGTTCTTTTTTTTTTTCTGTTTTTTTTAGTATATATGGGGAAACAGTGGGGTAGGAGGCAAAGCTCAACCACTGAGCTAAGCCCCACTTGCAGTTTTTTTTTCTCTCTTTTGACTTTTGAGGTACATCGATCACTACATTATGGGGAAGGGGGAGGGGCTGAAGAGCTCAATCACACTTCATGGTTTCGAACTTTAGAAGATTGGCTCACCATTGATGGGGGAAGTAAAGGAACCAGCAATCCAGATTTTGCGCATGGGTCCTACTTGCTGTGTGTTTTTAGCCTATTTCTTTTAGGGTTTTGTTTCCTACTTCTAGTCTTGTAACTCAAGTCCTACAAGCTATAAATAGGACTTTTGCATCTCAGAGAGCGCAATAATCTAGAATACAAGAGGGCATAGGGGCTAAAGGGGTTTTTTTTGTTTTGGTTTTTTTTTGTTCATATCTCTTCTAATAAAATTTCTCAAGGGATGCACGTTGTCAAACCTCTATAAATTCTTATGTTCTAGGTTGATTTGTTTGTTTTTATAGTGTTTAATTTTTCAGTTTTGTAGAAAGAGAATTTTAGTAATCAAAATAGTTTTCATTATGATTCTTGATAATCAATATACAATTTAATGGGAATGTCTTGGAGTGACTTGGATTCATGTTAACTCGGCTCCATGATCACTCTTATTCATGCTCACTCCAATTACGAATTAGTAAACATGCAATATTAGTTTTTACTAGTAAAGGTGTCTGCACGATGCTGCGAGTTTTAAAACTGTCCGACATGTGTACAAAGTTGTGAAAACATGTAGTAAGTTTAAGTTACAAAATAAAGACTAATAAAATGTTTTATATGTTGCTTGTCGTCTTAAAATATTGGACATATTTTGTAACACCCCGACCCCAATTTATCCCATGTTTTAATTTATTTAAGTGGAATTGAGAAATTACCCGTGGGATAGGGGTATTTTAGTCATTTTCTTATTTGGGAGGACTTTGGGAATTCCGGTTGTACCGTTGCGTAGAGCACGGCGAGATGAGTTCGTAGACACGTAGTGGGCTCGAATCGGAGTTGTAACGAGAGAGATATGATCAAAAGAAGCTCAGTGGCATAATCGTAAATATTTTGAAGTGGGATTTTTGGTTAAAAGACGGAATTGCCCCCGTCTCTCTCACACTCTCTCTCTCGCGCGCGTCCCTCTCTCTCTCCTCTGGTTCGCGACCGCCACCACAGCCGGCCACGTTTTGGCCGGCCGTTCGCTCTCGTCCGGCCACCAAAGTCGACGGGGCCGGTACCAAAATGACCGGGCCGCCGTCCTCTTCCTACCCCAGCCAGGTCTCGCCGTCAGCCGTCGAGATTTCGCCGGAAAAATCGAAGAGAAAAGCTCGGTTTCGCCCGAAACTTCGCCGGCTTCGTTCTCCGTCGTCCGGCCGCCATTTTTGGCGATCAAGGTATGGAAATTCATCCCTTCTGCATGATCTAGCTGATGGTTGGGTAGGATTGTATCGATTTTGAGCCTAGATTATCTGATTTTCGAGTTAGGGTTCGGCCGGATTTCGGGATGAGATTCCGGCCACTTCCGGTCAGTTTTTGGGGTACGTCCAAGAACAAAAGTGACTCCAAATTAGGTGTATTACCTAGGGTAGGAGTCTGGGCTCACGATTTGGAAGTTTTCCGGCGATGGGTATCGCTTTGGACACCCACACGCTGCCGGCGCGTGTGGCGGCGCGTGGGCACTGTAGCTGAGGGGCATTTTTGTCCCATTGTGATCCTCTCGATGTCACGAGCGCGCAGGTGTGCTCGGATCTCAATTTGGATATCGTTAGAGTCCCGAACGGATATCGCATATCGCGTATTTTCCGGGTTCGCTGGGTTTGGACCGTTGGATGGTCCTGAGATTATAATATGTTGACCTAGGTATTACCAGGATCATATAGGATTCGACGGATCGTAAAACGGAGTCCCGGATACTCCGGAATTGTCAACCCTGGGGGTAAGGTTTAGTAACCGTCCGATCGTGCGATCGTGAGCGATCCGACCGTCCGATCTGGACCAAACTTGCAGGACATGTGTCCTAGAGCTTGTAGAACCTCTAGGAACTTTCGGATTGGAATTTGGAGGTTGTGGGCCCCGCAGGCCCGTTTGACCCTAGGTTGACCGTGAGACTTCCGAGATAGTCTTACCTTTATTTGAGGGTTAGAATGACCTTAGAGACAGGTCTTGAGCGTTGTTGAGTAAAATGGATATTGTGGGTTTAGGATATAAATTGGTGAATTTAAATGTGGGAGTTTATGGAATGTTTTATTGGTTGATGTTATTGTATGATTAGAAATTACTTGATATATTTAATTGATTGTGTGGATGTATAATGATATATAAGGAGATTGATTATTAGTTTACAGTGCTATACGCACTACCCCACGTACCCCTCATATTGTGATTAGGCTCAGGCCCAAGTGATTGTGTGAGGGCTGGTGAGAATGTAGCCAGGCCCAGCACGCGTCTTTGGGTTAGCCGGCGTGTTGACAGGCCCCGTACGTGGCCGGGTACGTCCCGACGTATGATGATGGTATAAGGGCTGGTGAGAATGTAGCCAGGCCCAGTGTGAGGTCGCACGCGTCTTTGGGTTAGCCGGCGTGTTGACAGGCCCCGTACGTGGCCGGGTACGTCCCGACGTATGAGTGGGTGATATGATGGTATAAGGGCTGGTGAGAATGTAGCCAGGCCCAGTGTGAGGTCGCACGCGTCTTTGGGTTAGCCGGCGTGTTGACAGGCCCCGTACGTGGCCGGGTACGTCCCGACGTATGAGTGGGTGATATGATGGTATAAGGGCTGGTGAGAATGTAGCCAGGCCCAGTGTGAGGTCGCACGCGTCTTTGGGTTAGCCGGCGTGTTGACAGGCCCCGTACGTGGCCGGGTACGTCCCGACGTATGAGTGGGTGATATGATGGTATAAGGGCTGGTGAGAATGTAGCCAGGCCCAGTGTGAGGTCGCACGCGTCTTTGGGTTAGCCGGCGTGTTGACAGGCCCCGTACGTGGCCGGGTACGTCCCGACGTATGAGTGGGTGATATGATGGTATAAGGGCTGGTGAGAATGTAGCCAGGCCCAGTGTGAGGTCGCACGCGTCTTTGGGTTAGCCGGCGTGTTGACAGGCCCGTACGTGGCCGGGTACGTCCCGACGTATGAGTGGGTGATATGATGGTATAAGGGCTGGTGAGAATGTAGCCAGGCCCAGTGTGAGGTCGCACGCGTCTTTGGATTAGCCGGCGTGTAGACAGACCCCGTACGAGGCCGGGTGCGTCCCGTCGTATGAGTGGGAGATATGATAGTATGATGGCTGGTGAGAATGTAGCCAGGCCAAAGAGAACAGTATGATGGCTGGTGAGAATGTAGCCAGGCCCAGCGAGAGGTCGCACGCGTCTTTGGATTAGCCGGCGTGTTGACAGACCCCGTACGTGGCCGGGTGCGTCCCGACGTATGAGGGGAGCTATGTGATTGTGTTTGGTGTGTTGTGATGGATAAACCCGAGAATGTATGAATTTATATGGATGTAATGGTTTAATTGATATCAGGAGCCAGGATTGATAGGAAAGAGCTACGTGTGGCTTGATCCCTTAGTAGGGTACGTAGGCAGCCTGGGATAGCGCCTAGGTGCAGCCACGACTTAGACACCACTTAGGTGGTTTCATTGTGTATGATGCGGACCTCGTGGTTGGTCCCGAAACTTGGTTGAATTGAGACTGGTCCGGTGAACTGAGTGAGCGAAGGTGTGCATAGTTAGATTTTGAATTGGTTCTGTGCATGTTTGATGCATGGAGTTATTTTAAAAGCAGTGTGAGTAGTTCTGCTAGAATCATTTGAAGGCTGGAGGCCATTTATGTAAATTGCCTGAGATTATATTGTGCGTGCTGCTGGTTGGGTTATAAAATGTGTTTTATGCAGGTGGAAATTTTGGGGAATGTTTAATTTACAGGGGAGACTCTGCCGAAATTTTGGCAGAAAGTCTCGTGCCCTAAATCCTCTCTGGTAAACGAGGACGTAGATTTAAGGAGTAAACCCGGCGTGGGTGTGATGCCGGGGTCTCCGCAGGGTTCGTCTCGGGTTCCGGGAAATTCGGGACGGGTCCTGTCAGCTTGGTATCAGAGCTTAGGTTCAATTTCTTGTGGACCCCGCACCTTGTGTGCATCCTTAAGTTGTGGGATCATGATGGGTTCCGTCACGGGACGTCATCATTTTGATGCGGAGGATTCTTTGACATGGATGGATTTAGGGTATTGATGAGTACACTTAAGGGTGCCACGTTCCTAGAAACGTGTCTATCCAAATTGTCGTATCTCAATATCCTATGGAAGGAAATGGAAGAGCTGAAAGTGTTGAATCTGTTGAGATGAGATGAAATTGTCCGAGATAGAGTTGATGGACAAGTTACAAGGGAATGGGGGAGTTGTGAGTCCGACCAAGGAGGGTCGTGACAAATTAAGTTGAGAAGTAATAGTGTTGGATGAAGTATCACTTCACTCGCGTGGGTTTGAATGCCGCGATTGACAGGAGTGGAACCTTATGGTTCTTCTTCCTTGCTTTCTCACGCAGTGAATTTGAACTCCAAAATTTCTTTGAAGTCCGGCCACTGTGAGTTTGACCGGCGACTTGGGTTACTTCTGCCTACCCCTCTGCAAAGGGAACCAATATGAGAAAGAGGAAGAGGAAAGGTACATAGGCCGTTGAGGCAGAAGTAGAGCTAGAGCTTTACCACAGACGGAGGTTGTTGAGTTCTTATGGGCAGGAGAACATGGAGTTGATAAACTCGTTTCTAGAGATCCTCCATTGCCTGAACATGTTGCTAATTCTCGATTGTGTGCAGTGAGCACGTTTGAGCAGAAATCTTTCATCGGAATCAGAAATGGGTCATGGTAGAGAGAGGAAGATGATGATTACAATTCGGTAAAAATGACCCTTTCTGACATCCCTCTCAAAGAATCGTGTTGGCAATATTGCTTATCGATTCTAAAGAAAGAAGGAAGATATCAACAAGTCAAAGAGTTTGGATTCTCTTCATGGGAGAGCTGGAAGAGAATCAAATCACAAATGGAAACATTTAGCTTTCAGAGGAAGATTAAGCATTACCGCAGCTATTAAAGGATATTCCTAGTGGAAGAAAGAGACTTCTCTTCCTCTGCTTGTTTAGATAGAGCTAATGGCTTGGCTGCCAACCTGGTTGTGGAGGATGAAGCATGGGAACCCGAGCAGTAGATGCGGGCCCAGTACCCACACCCTTTGGAGTGGCAGGTATGAAATTTCGGGGACGAAATTTTTATAAGGGGGGTAGTATGTAACACCCCGACCCCAATTTATCCCATGTTTTAATTTATTTAAGTGGAATTGAGAAATTACCCGTGGGATAGGGGTATTTTAGTCATTTTCTTATTTGGGAGGACTTTGGGAATTCCGGTTGTACCGTTGCGTAGAGCACGGCGAGATGAGTTCGTAGACACGTAGTGGGCTCGAATCGGAGTTGTAACGAGAGAGATATGATCAAAAGAAGCTCAGTGGCATAATCGTAAATATTTTGAAGTGGGATTTTTGGTTAAAAGACGGAATTGCCCCCGTCTCTCTCACACTCTCTCTCTCGCGCGCGTCCCTCTCTCTCTCTCCTCTGGTTCGCGACCGCCACCACAGCTGGCCACGTTTTGGCCGGCCGTTCGCTCGTCCGGCCACCAAAGTCGACGGGGCCGGTACCAAAATGACCGGGCCGCCGTCCTCTTCCTACCCCAGCCAGGTCTCGCCGTCAGCCGTCGAGATTTCGCCGGAAAAATCGAAGAGAAAAGCTCGGTTTCGCCCGAAACTTCGCCGGCTTCGTTCTCCGTCGTCCGGCCGCCATTTTTGGCGATCAAGGTATGGAAATTCATCCCTTCTGCATGATCTAGCTGATGGTTGGGTAGGATTGTATCGATTTTGAGCCTAGATTATCTGATTTTCGAGTTAGGGTTCGGCCGGATTTCGGGATGAGATTCCGGCCACTTCCGGTCAGTTTTTGGGGTACGTCCAAGAACAAAAGTGACTCCAAATTAGGTGTATTACCTAGGGTAGGAGTCTGGGCTCACGATTTGGAAGTTTTCCGGCGATGGGTATCGCTTTGGACACCCACACGCTGCCGGCGCGTGTGGCGGCGCGTGGGCACTGTAGCTGAGGGGCATTTTTGTCCCATTGTGATCCTCTCGATGTCACGAGCGCGCAGGTGTGCTCGGATCTCAATTTGGATATCGTTAGAGTCCCGAACGGATATCGCATATCGCGTATTTTCCGGGTTCGCTGGGTTTGGACCGTTGGATGGTCCTGAGATTATAATATGTTGACCTAGGTATTACCAGGATCATATAGGATTCGACGGATCGTAAAACGGAGTCCCGGATACTCCGGAATTGTCAACCCTGGGGGTAAGGTTTAGTAACCGTCCGATCGTGCGATCGTGAGCGATCCGACCGTCCGATCTGGACCAAACTTGCAGGACATGTGTCCTAGAGCTTGTAGAACCTCTAGGAACTTTCGGATTGGAATTTGGAGGTTGTGGGCCCCGCAGGCCCGTTTGACCCTAGGTTGACCGTGAGACTTCCGAGATAGTCTTACCTTTATTTGAGGGTTAGAATGACCTTAGAGACAGGTCTTGAGCGTTGTTGAGTAAAATGGATATTGTGGGTTTAGGATATAAATTGGTGAATTTAAATGTGGGAGTTTATGGAATGTTTTATTGGTTGATGTTATTGTATGATTAGAAATTACTTGATATATTTAATTGATTGTGTGGATGTATAATGATATATAAGGAGATTGATTATTAGTTTACAGTGCTATACGCACTACCCCACGTACCCCTCATATTGTGATTAGGCTCAGGCCCAAGTGATTGTGTGAGGGCTGGTGAGAATGTAGCCAGGCCCAGTGTGAGGTCGCACGCGTCTTTGGGTTAGCCGGCGTGTTGACAGGCCCCGTACGTGGCCGGGTACGTCCCGACGTATGAGTGGGTGATATGATGGTATAAGGGCTGGTGAGAATGTAGCCAGGCCCAGTGTGAGGTCGCACGCGTCTTTGGGTTAGCCGGCGTGTTGACAGGCCCCCGTACGTGGCCGGGTACGTCCCGACGTATGAGTGGGTGATATGATGGTATAAGGGCTGGTGAGAATGTAGCCAGGCCCAGTGTGAGGTCGCACGCGTCTTTGGGTTAGCCGGCGTGTTGACAGGCCCCGTACGTGGCCGGGTACGTCCCGACGTATGAGTGGGTGATATGATGGTATAAGGGGGTGAGAATGTAGCCAGGCCCAGTGTGAAGGTCGCACGCGTCTTTGGGTTAGCCGGCGTGTTGACAGGCCCCGTACGTGGCCGGGTACGTCCCGACGTATGAGTGGGTGATATGATGGTATAAGGGCTGGTGAGAATGTAGCCAGGCCCAGTGTGAGGTCGCACGCGTCTTTGGGTTAGCCGGCGTGTTGACAGGCCCCGTACGTGGCCGGGTACGTCCCGACGTATGAGTGGGTGATATGATGGTATAAGGGCTGGTGAGAATGTAGCCAGGCCCAGTGTGAGGTCGCACGCGTCTTGGGTTAGCCGGCGTGTTGACAGGCCCCGTACGTGGCCGGGTACGTCCCGACGTATGAGTGGGTGATATGATGGTATAAGGGCTGGTGAGAATGTAGCCAGGCCCAGTGTGAGGTCGCACGCGTCTTTGGATTAGCCGGCGTGTAGACAGACCCCGTACGAGGCCGGGTGCGTCCCGTCGTATGAGTGGGAGATATGATAGTATGATGGCTGGTGAGAATGTAGCCAGGCCAAAGAGAACAGTATGATGGCTGGTGAGAATGTAGCCAGGCCCAGCGAGAGGTCGCACGCGTCTTTGGATTAGCCGGCGTGTTGACAGACCCCGTACGTGGCCGGGTGCGTCCCGACGTATGAGGGGAGCTATGTGATTGTGTTTGGTGTGTTGTGATGGATAAACCCGAGAATGTATGAATTTATATGGATGTAATGGTTTAATTGATATCAGGAGCCAGGATTGATAGGAAAGAGCTACGTGTGGCTTGATCCCTTAGTAGGGTACGTAGGCAGCCTGGGATAGCGCCTAGGTGCAGCCACGACTTAGACACCACTTAGGTGGTTTCATTGTGTATGATGCGGACCTCGTGGTTGGTCCCGAAACTTGGTTGAATTGAGACTGGTCCGGTGAACTGAGTGAGCGAAGGTGTGCATAGTTAGATTTTGAATTGGTTCTGTGCATGTTTGATGCATGGAGTTATTTTAAAAGCAGTGTGAGTAGTTCTGCTAGAATCATTTGAAGGCTGGAGGCCATTTATGTAAATTGCCTGAGATTATATTGTGCGTGCTGCTGGTTGGGTTATAAAATGTGTTTTATGCAGGTGGAAATTTTGGGGAATGTTTAATTTACAGGGGAGACTCTGCCGAAATTTTGGCAGAAAGTCTCGTGCCCTAAATCCTCTCTGGTAAACGAGGACGTAGATTTAAGGAGTAAACCCGGCGTGGGTGTGATGCCGGGGTCTCCGCAGGGTTCGTCTCGGGTTCCGGGAAATTCGGGACGGGTCCTGTCATATTTTATTAAACCAAGCAGCAATCAAAATATCAACAATTTGAGCTGCTTTTTGTTCAAAAGAATTTGTACGTGTCTTTACATATATATGCTACTGGTGTGAGAAGGGGATTTTTCTGCCTTGATGTTTGTTGAAAGGGGATCTATCTGTTGTTAGCTCTACTGTAGAAGTGGTTTATGGTCTTTCTTGTCTTCTGCAGGGATTTTAACTATGTTAGTACAAATTTGGAAAATAGCAAATGTTAGTGTAGATAAATGGAAAAATTAATTAGCCAAATCAGCTAGAGCAACCAAAAACAACACTATGAAGTTAATTAGGTACGCTACCATGCATAGCGTAGAGCAAGTGATGATGTTTTCAGTAAAGTAATAATAAAGAATGATATGCTCATCAATGCTAATATAGTAATATATAAATCAGCCACTAAAATGTAGTATAAATAGTGGGGAGAGTTAGCAACCAAAGAGAGGGGCAAAAAGGGAACATAAGGAAAAATTTAGTAAAGGACAGAGGCAAAAAGGGAAGAGCAGAAAAGGTTTAGTGGAGGGCATTTTCGAAAATTCACTGTGTTAAAGAGAAAAACAGAACTGAAAACAACGGTAAAAGGAGGGGCATTTCTGTCATTACAGTGCGCTTAAGAACAGTGTTTAGATGGATTGCCGTTTAGTATATAAATATATAATTTCTTTTGATTTGATATAAATTAGGGTATAATTGGAAGTGGAAAGAGGAAAGGCAACGTTTCTTAGCCAAGGAAGAAAAGTGAAAAGAAACACCGAAAGCAAAAGAAGAAAAACAAACGAACATTATCAAAATGAAAGGTAAAGCTTCTCATGGAAGTAGCGTGGCGAATGTGAAGGAACCATGTAGTGGCGAATCTTGATGGGATTTGTACGAAAAGCAAGACTTTGCCTAAGCTGCTTTCCATTCTTTATATCTATAGCCACGCGTCGTCCCCCAAACGAAGTTACAAAATCACCTAGTTTGAAATTTGAAGTAAAAAATGGGAGCTAATGAAAGCAGGGAAGGCTCTTGGAGCATCAAGGACGTGCCCAATGGTGTAATTGCAGCTGCCGCTGTGGCAGGAATGGCTCTGCTGGCCTATGGTTTATATGGACGTGTTTCAGCTTCAGAGCAGAGGAGGAAGACGATGAAAGCTCCGGGCAGAGGTGACCAAATCTCAAGGGGTGATTTTCAGGCTAACCCAAAAGCTTATTTCAGAGACCTCCGCCGCAAATAGAGAGCCAGTCCCAGTGGGATGGATGGACATGGGAGGATATTGCAGCACTTGCAACTCAGGGTCACTGCCCTTATTATATGAATAAATACTCTTGTAGCAGTCTCTGTTCTATTATTCTATCTATTTCTATTATGCATAATATGTCCTTGTTGGATTGAGTTCTGAGTTCATGGACGAAAATTGTTGATTAATTAAAATATATATATATAAAAAAAGACAACAGTCGAGTTTGGATCATCGAATCAAGCTAAAATTACTCTGCTTCAAGTATGATTTTGGATTAAAATTCGGATCAAGTATGGATTAAACTTTTGATCAAGTGAGAGAGGGAGGATTTGAAAATGTGACATATTCTAACGTTAGGAAGAGAAATATAACCACACCCAAAGCTAGTTAAGCATATGAGTCACTCTTCTTGATTGAATGACTAAGAATCCTTCCACTCTCCAAAACGAGGATCATTATGAGTATGCAATATTCATAATGAATGCAACAAGCCATGATGTGCCACAACAAAGGCCTCTTGTCAACATATCTGACATGTTATTAGCAATCTGGCAGCTTATTTAAATTACAAACCAAGAACCTGTCCAGAATCACAAGACAATCCCATTAACAAAAGCACACAAATAAAGTTCACAACACATACTGACAGACTGATACTACAAACAAATTACATTGACAGACTTACCTTCCTCCTCCTTTATATATATATATATATATATATATATATATATATCTAATGCAAAGATAAGGCAGCAAATAAAGAACGTAAACCTAAAATTACCGCAAATGTTTCATACCATGCCTAGGTGGAAGAAGGGAAGGTAGAATTGAGAAACTCTTCATCCTCAATGAAGATTTGCAGATTCTTGGACTTCATCAAAAAATCAACTGCTTCCTCATTGAATTCTAGCACAAAGGCCAACTTGATCAGCTCAGAAAGTGCAGGGATATGATCAGTGTGCTCCCACAAGACACCATCAGATATTACTTGAGAGAAATATGTGGCAAACTCAACGATACTTTTATGTCCCCCAGACCTGTCAATTTTCTGAGTGAAAAATTTGGACATCTCTCTGTCCCATCTTATCTTGCGGCTTGCTCTCACATTCAAAGTCTCCCTAGAAGACAATGGTAAGTTATAGTTTACAGTGATCGGTTCAGTTGTCTCTACAACAGTGAGACTGAGAAGACCTTGGACAGCTTTTCGCCTCGTCCCTGCTTCCATTTCAATGGGAGGGCAAGCTAGAAAACCAAGAATCAGCCGGAGTAGCACTTTCCCGATCAATTTCTCTGTTGGAATTACCTGTTCATCAACACCATTTTCTACGGACAGTTCTTCCTTCTGTACAGATTCAGAAATAGCTCGAACACCAATTTTCCTATACATTTCAAGCAATGTAGTCCGAGGCAAGTCAGGCAAGCTTGGCTGAGGGTACCAAACAAATAAGGGGTGAGTAGAAGACTTTTCAAAAAGATCCTTAAGTTGAAGGTCATCAGGAAGGAAAACGTCGCACTTGTTTAACAAGAAGATTTCATCTGAGCCTGAAGTAACAGGTACTTTCACCAAGGCCTCAGAAAGAGCTTTCTCTGTTTTTGATTTATTTTCAGGTACTTTGACCGAGGCCTCAGGAAGAGCTTTCTCTGTTTTTAAATTCCGATTCTTTGAAACAACATTACCCCAGAACTTGCAACATTGATCATGAGACAATCCAGTTTCAGAACTTTCCCACACCTTCCAGAGCTTGCAGTAGTCATCAATTGATGGACGGGACTTTACCTTGTAAGCACTGGAGAAGAACCCGAGTAGGTTATGCTCAAAGTATTTCTCCAGAACAGTCAACTGCAAGCCAAACAGCTCATCCTTGTCATACAAAACACACTCTTCTGGATTAACGCACTGTCCATTCTGATTTCCCATTGGAATCCAGATACTTTTGTCAGCCTTGCTATTCGGCTCCCACTTAAACTCACTCAAGTAACTGTATACTCGAACAAAAGTGGACAATTCATCATGAAGAGCAAGCTGGCTGGCAATCAAGGGACATCCTTTGTCCACTTCAACAATCACCTTTATTGCAGAGAGCTCTTCTCTGTATTTTGTAATTTCAGAACCATAAAATTCTTCATCAATGAAAGGGCCATCAGTCTGCGTTAGATACTCGCCAAACTTGGAATCAAACAACAAGCACCTGCTCGGAGGCCTGTAACCATCATCAGTCTTCAGCCATGCCTGAGAAACTTTCTGGGGGAACACATCAGGAAAGGAGTTATCTTTCTCCTCCAATAAAATATGTATGCAGTCCAGCAAAGCAAGTGCATTTTCTCGAGAAATGCTCCTCGGATTCTTGGGAAGATATAGACAAGAAGGCACAAACTTGACCCCATCCTTGAATTCCACAACGACCCCCAAGCTCTTCAGCTCTTGCTTATATTCATGAATGTTCTTGCCATAACAAGTGTCAGAATCGTCAATAAAAGGGAGACGGCATATGGGAGAGAGAGATTCCCAGTCAGAACAAAACAGAATGCACTCTCTTGGAGATCTATAATCACCAAGGCGAGTACGCAGCCACTTTTCTTTGCAAATGCAGCTCTTAAGATCTGCAGGAAATTTAAAAGGAGTTCGCTCCAGCTTTCTGTAACAGGACAGTAATGATTCTACATTTTCTTTGGTGATGGAAGCCTGCCGGAAATGGTGAGCAAATACTTTTGCAGCCTCTTCAAAATCAACGACCACCCCTATCCTTCTCAACTCATCACTGAAGGAAAAGATTATGTCTCCATACAAATTATGATCAATCAATGGGACACCACTAAATACCTGAAGAAGGCAACCCCATTCAGGGTGAAACAAGAGACATTCACTTGGAGACTTGTAACCATTATTTGTCTTCAGGCATTTATTTCCTCTCAGTGCTTCGACAATCTTATTGGATGAATTTGAAATGTGCATAATTTGCAGCATTAGTAGAACAGCCTCAGGTGCCAGAGAAGTTAAGCATGACGGTGACTTTAGGTGGTCGACAACAAGCTGGTAATATTTGTTGAACGAGACAACCACACCAAGCAACTCAAGTTCTGTTTTGAAATCAAGGATTTCTTCACCGTATACCTCCCGATCAATGAAGGGAATGTCACTAATTTTGGATGCAATTATCCACTCTTGGTCAAACAAGACAGATCCATCAGGAGACCTGTAACCATGAGATTTTGTTTTAAGCCATTGTCCTTTTCTGATACTGCGGATGAAATCGTCTGGGGGAAGACATTTGTCCCTCAAGAGCTTGATAAAATGTAGTATCGAAAGTACGTTGCCTCTATTTAAAGTGGACGAAGCTGCCAGAGACATAAGATGCTTCCCAATAAATTCACATGCTTCTCCAAATTCAAACATCACTCCAATTGTTTTCAGCTCCTCCTTGTAACCATCAATTCTCTCACCATAATAATTCTTATTAACCAATGGGATATCAACAAAAACGGATCCATTCTGCAAAATGTTTCCCCATGATGGGGCAAGTACAAATGACTCCGAAGGTGGCCTGGACACAGAAAATCCCTTCAAAGTAACTTTCAACCAACTACCTTCCTTTATACATTTCAAGAACTTCTCCGGGATGTGAACCCTTTGATATCTCAGATGGCGAATCCAGTCCAAAAGCAAGAATACCTTTTGGATACTAAGTGTTGCAGATACAGCTGGAAGACAGGCATTGGGAGCAGAAATATAAGGGACATCCGAAGCTCCAGCATGATCTTTGAGGAACTCAAGGAGCTGCTTCTGTTCTGTAATTTGACCTGCAAAGCGGCCTGGATTCATGTAATCTTCTCCTAACTGAACAAAGCCGTCTTCTTTCCACAGATTCGAATCAGTAAACCCCGCCCATTTGCTTTCGTTGGCAGGGACAATAACTCCTCTCCTTTGTCTGATGACGTCCCCGTAGTTATCCACGAGTGGCATCTTACCACATAAATCAACAATTTCAAGATCAGAGATATAGTTCTTGCAGAATGAATGATACAAAAAGTGGGCATATGCAATAGCAGGTTTCCGTTCAATACCATGAGACTTATAGAGGCAAACTGCATATTCATGTACATTTACAGCTGCAACCTTCATTTCTTCCGCAAGCCATTTCACCAACTTGTCCTTGTTAGAACATGACTGGATAGCTTCCTGGGTTCCTTTCGGCATAAAAAGAAGACTTGCCGCAGATATAAATTCCCTGTTCCAGTCAATCAGCCATGAGACATGACAAGAATGACGGGATAGGCAAACGTTCTTTTTACCAGTCTGCATTGAGCTCAAGCTGCACAAAGATACATCCTCATCAAGATCCACATATTTTATCAGTGGTATGTTCTTGATGTTGGTGCAGAGAAATTTGGGCCACCAATTATCAGCAATAAACAGTAGAAGTTCCAAGTACACATCTTCTGACACTCCAACTACCAGATTGGAACTCTGAATGCATTTAGCATACCATTCATCATCCACTGGTTCAACTCCAAGGAAACTCAGAATGTGATCATACTCCTCTTGGTCAAATGAATGACACAAAACATATTTTCCATGGGAAGAGAGATTCGGCAAGCTTACCCCTACTTCCCTGGCCTCTATTAAAATATTCCAAAAATCAGGCAATAACCTACCCACTTCACAAGGTTTGTGGAAGAACTTCTGCTCCTTGTGCGGCTCACATGGTACAATGTCTTTCTCAACCAGCTGTGCTTTGATTGAATCCCTCACAACATTCAATTCATCATATCGAGAGTCCTGGACAGGCAAGAACCTGAAAAAAGGAGGCAAACTAGATACTGGTGCATCTTCTATTGTTTTCACGAGAGAGAGAAATGCATTAATAAATGCAGAGGGCACACAGTGCAGAATTCCTTGATTCCACTTCTTGTCCCATAGAATATTTTCTCTTGATGATGCTAAAAGAAAATCTGCCTGAATTATGAAGGGCAAATTTGTAAACATTTCGGTGGGA